CCCCAAGAACTTCCACCACACCGGGAGCATGACCACCGCATCCCCCTCATGCCGGGATCTGCCCCAACCAATGTAAGACCCTACTAATACCCTTACTTTCAAAAATCTGAAATCGAGAAGCAAGTTCAAGATATGCTTAAGCAAGGGATAATACAGCCTAGTCATAGCCCATTCTCTTCACCGGTATTATTAGTCAAAAAAGAGGATGGGACGTGGCGATTTTGTATTGATTACAGAGCCCTTAACAGCATCACCATTAAAGACCAATTTCCAATACCAGTCATTGATGAGTTGCTTGATGAACTCAGTCAAGCCACCATATTCTCAAAACTAGATTTACGAGCTGGGTATCATCAAATAAGGGTACATAGGGAGGATGTTCACAAAATGGCTTTTAGGACACATGATGGCCACTATGAGTTCCTGGTCATGCCATTTGGGCTGACCAATGCTCTAGCCACATTTCAAGCATTAATGAATGACATATTCCGGCCATATTTACGTAAGTTCATCCTTGTTTTCTTTGATGACATATTGGTCTATAGCCCCAATTGGGAGGAACATTTGAATCATCTACAGGTCACCCTTGCAACACTTGAGGCCCACCAGTTGTTCGCTAAAGAGTCCCAAGTGCTCCTTTGGACAAAACCAAGTTCACTACTTGGGACATATTGTAGAGAAGGGGATTGTAGCGGCTGACCCAGATAAAATCTCCAGTATAATGGGCTGGCCGCAACCCAAAAGTGTGAAAGAGTTGAGGGCCTTCTTGGGCCTGACGGGGTACTACCGCCGCTTCATCAAAAACTACGGCCTAATAGCTACCCCGTTGACCCAATTGTTGAAACAAGACGCTTTTCACTGGTCAACCCAGGCCCAACAAGCTTTTGAGCAATTGAGAGAGGCATTTGCGAGCCCTCCAACATTAGCATTGCCTGATTTCACAAAAGACTTCATCATTGAGTGTGATGCCTCCGGTCAAGGTGTTGGGGCTGTTCTCATGCAAGAGGGGTGACCACTAGCCTTTTTCAGCAAGGCCTTAACATCACAAAAGTGGGCCAAATCAGTTTATGAGCGAGAATTAATAGCAATAGTCTTAGCAGTCCAACATTGGCGGTCCTACTTGCTCGGTAGACGGTTCATAATTCGGACCGACCATCAAGGTTTGAAGTTCTTATTGGATCAATCAGTTCTATCCCCGGAACAACAACGATGGATATCCAAGCTACTGGGGTACGACTACATAATTGAGTACAAAGCAGGGGCTGCTAACCGGGTGGCTGACGCCCTCTCACGGCACCCACAATCATTTCAGTTACTAGTATCTTCCCCAACTTCTCCACTCCTGGATGTACTGCGAAAAGAAGCCCAATCCCATAGGGAGTTACAGTAGTTGAAGGCCCAAGTATTGGCAAATCCTTCACTGCACCCCGGGTACACCATTAAGAATGATCTACTCTTCTTCAAAGGACATCTGGAAATTCCGGCAGATTCTGCTCATCTCAGGAAGCTCCTGGAATTATTCCATGCCTCACCCACAGGTGGCCACTCCGGCATCCTACGAACACAAAAGCGCATCACCACACAATTCCATTGGAAAAGCATGCGTACATCTATCCAGAACTTCATAGCTGGGTGTGCAGTATGCCAACAAAACAAGTCGGCCACTACAACACCAGCAGGCCTCTTGCAACCACTCCCAATACCAACCCAAGTCTGGGATGATATATCAATGGATTTCATCACGGGATTGCCCGTTTCTGCCGGCAAAACTGTTATCTTTGTGGTAGTGGATATACTGACGAAATACAGTCATTTCCTACCTCTATCACACCCATTTACAGCAGTCACAGTTGCTGAATTGTTCCTCCGGGAAATTGTGCGCCTACACGGGCTCCCCAGCTCAATTGTAGCAGACAGGGACCCTATTTTTATGAGCCGTTTCTAGGCTGAGCTTTTCTGCCTGCACGGGGTTAAACTGTTCAAGTCAACTAGCTACCACCCCCAATATGGACAGACAGAGGCGGTTAACAAGACTCTCGAAACATATCTGAGATGCTTTGCGGGAGATCGACCAAGACAATGGGTTCAGTGGATCCACTGGGCCAAATGGTGGTACACCACCACCTCCTTCCATAGTGCCGCTGGGATGACACCCTTCCGAGCTTTATATGGTCGGGACCCTCCCCCTCTACTTCGTTATGAAAAAGGGAGCACCATCGTAGCGGCCGTAGAAGAACAGCTAACGCAACGAGATGAGGTGTTAAGGGAATTGAGACATCATCTCTTACAGGCACAGCAATGGATGAAGCACACCTATGATAAACATCACAAGAATGTCCAATATGAAGTAGGTGATTGGGTGTTTCTCAAATTACAACCCTTCAGACAGATTTCAGTTGCAAGCCGACAGTGGAACAAACTCAGCCCGTGCTATTTTGGACCATTTAAAATCCTGGAGAGAATAGGATCAGTGGCCTACAAGCTGGACCTTCCGGCAACATCAAAACTGCACCCTGTATTCCATATCTCCTTACTGAAGAAAGGGCCGAAGTCAGGAGTCATTACAAGTGCGACCCTTCCCACCTTTTGAGAAGGACAAGTGCAGACTGAGCCAGCCCGCATCATTGATTTCAGATGGGTGCGCCGGGGTGGTAGAGTCATACCAGAAGCATTAGTTGTTTGGTCTAACCTCCCAGAAGAGGATGCAACCTGGGAATCCTACTTAGATCTGCAATCAAATTTTCCCACATTAGACCTTGAGGGCAAGGTCGCTCTAAAGGAAGGGGGGATTGTAAAGACTGCTGGAACAGACCAACAGAAAGCAGTTAATCAGTTTCACAAGAGGAGGCCACATCAGCACAACTAATCATCCACTTGCAACAGCTGTAACAGAAAGAAATCAAGATTGTAAAACAGTATAAGTAGAAAAGCACAAGAGAAATAAGACATTGATTCTTTCAGCATTAATCTCTCTCTAGCTCTCTCTCTCTCTCTCTGTCTCTCTCTCTCTCTCCTTCCAAGAATTCAGGAGGTTGGCCCCTCGAAGAGCCCTGAGTTAGGCAGGTTCCTAACAAAGCCCCAGCCCAACTCCATCGCACCTCAGCTCCAGCAGGTAAGTTCTTCTAGTCTTCTTCTTCTTCTTCTTCTCCAGATTTCAGACATTTTTTCCTTTTTTTTTCTAAAAAACAGGGGCTCCGTGAGTCCTCCCTTTCTGCACTCATCATCATCTTCTTCTTCTTCCCAGATTTCAGTCGAATCAGTCCTGAGTTCTCTCTTCTCAGCTCAGACATTTTTTCATTTCTTTTTTTGAAAAAACAGGGGCTTGCTCCCCTCTCGGTTGGCGTTCGCCAGCCACTAGAGCAAGTAAGAGAACCTACAGTGAATGAACTTAAAGAACCGAAGAGAGTGCTAGCGTTCATGGAGTTGCTTGTTGCGCATCCGTTTTTCATCATGCTGTTAGCGAACGGCTTGAGCGCGTCAGCGCGAAAGCATGTGAAAGCCGGAGTGCAATCCTCCCTTTCCACTCTTCTTCTTCTTCTTCTTCTTCTTCTTCTTCCGCCCCACGAGTCCATGACTGTTCTCAGTCGTCAGTAGTCACTCTCAGTCGTCCACCCCATGAGTCCATTTTTTTGCTTTTTTTTTTTGAAAAAACAGGGTCTCCACCTATACTCCTATTCTCCCTTCACTGATTCAGTCATTGTTCTCACTTCTCACTTCAGTTTTTAACAGCCGAACCTATCATTGTTATATATGACTGATTATATGGCTGAAATCTATAGATTTTATATTTATAGATTCCATTGCCTAGGGGCCTGGGCGCCCCATGGTCGCCTACCCTCACCTAGTCGCCTTGACAACTATGCAGCACAGATGGAGAAATATAACAATAGAAAGGGACCGTCAAGTTCAACTGAGGCATCCTGAACTGCTCATTCAGGTTGATCCCTAGATCGGTTAATACCCTAGCTGATAGCTTAGCTAGAGCATGAGTATTCAAGCAAAAATCAGACACCCACAACGTTGTACCTGTTTTCTTTCAGAGATGCACATAGAAAACATCAATTCTAGGCTTGAGCATAAATATTCAAGCAAAAAGAGTGTGTTATACAGGCTAAGAAATTTGTCTGGGATTAAAACTCTATATGATCAACTCGGAAAAAAGAAAACTGTCAATTGCACCAACCAGAAAACCTCAAAATGAAATTTCTGTGAACTTTCCTCAAGAAAATCTTGAAAAATTCAAAAAAAAAAAGTCAAATCACTTTTGTATCTTCATTAGAAATCTCTATAAAGAACCTTTCATCAAGCTGTAAGGTTCATATTCATTTTATATATATTGGCCTAGTAGCATAACCACTTTTTAGGCCTAGCATGCAATGCCAGCAGGCTTCCTTGATGGGTAGGATCAAGTAACCAATTGAGCAAGGCAAAGGCGACTTGGGTCAGTCTCTTTCACTTGTACAATAGAATAATACAATGACTAGAAAACCATTGGCAAGTAAACTGAAAATTACCAAAAATTCTCATTAGTTTGTCCTCTTCAACAATAGAGAGATCTTACTTTTCTACTCTGTTACTCTTTGATTCTTCTTCCCCAATTATTTAGCAGGGCAAAAGAAATCACTAGGTTTTCCATGATTGTGCGTTTATATTCATATCTAAACCATTGCTCAAGGTTTAACTGAAGATTGCTGACATTGTTAAGTTTCCAATGACATCGAAATTGAAGCTTTCCAATGCTTCCTTGTAAAAGAATTAAGAACATCAGCTCACAGAATGTAAACTGAATTTAAAATTATTTTTCTGGAACTGATAATATTGTTACCTTGGAAGATCTTCTGAAAGATTTGTACAGATATCTGTTTAGGATTTAGGTTTACACACTGTAAAATCATTTTTCTGGAACTGGTAAAATTAATTTCTATTTCTCTTGCATATTTTCTTCCATTTGGTTTACACACTGTAATTCATATTTCATCCCTGTTCTTTTTGTGCTTTAGGTTCGTCTTATTAAGGAATTGTATGGGAATCAGATTGGAGAGCTTTACCATAGCCTTCCATACCATGTAATTGAATTTGTACTGGATGATTTTGATTGGTAGGTGCATGTTTATTCTGATCTCATATGGATACTTTGATTTTTTGTTAGTCTTTCTGCCTCATAACCTCTATGATAAATGAGGCTACATGGAGAGTATCACACTATGACAGTTAGGTCATTCTAGATGTCAGATGATATAGAATCTTCTCTAATATTGAATGGATGAAAGATTTGAATGTGCAAAGGATGAATATGTTAGAAGTTCAGGGTGGCTTTAAGAATTGCAAATTTGTCCAAGGACAGTGGTAAAATTCGAAATAATCACAATAGGTTTGGTATAAGAAAATTTTAAATGGAACTTCTGTTGACAGGCTGATACATATATTTCCCTAGACATTTGGACTTGTGTCTTCTATTCTTATGTTTCTCTAGACAGGCTGGACTATTTGAAATAATCAAAATAGGTCCATGTCACTACCAAAGCACAACCTACATCTCTCATAGGTGATTCTTCTGTAGTCCTTGGACCAGCTGATTGCATAATGAATTAATAGAGCTGGCCGATCACTGATTTTCGGTGTGGGTTTTCGATATATTGGTGTCTTGGCGCTTCCCTAGGAGTAGTTTTGGAGAATTGTCCAAAATCTGACCTATATAAATCCAAAAATAAAGTAGACAAAGAAAGGAAGATGAAGAGAGAAGAAGCCGAGAAAGGAAGAAAGGGAAGAAAGAAGAGAGACTGTCGAACCTCTCTCCAGTCCCCCATAATGATCTTTTGTAATAAAATATCATTATGGGGGACTGGAGAGAGGTTCGATGGTCTCTCTACTTTCTTCCCTTTCTTCCTTTCTCTGCTGCTTCTAATTTTGCAGGATTATGAAGGGAGAAAAATGATGGCTCATAAGCCATAAAAAACATAGCCAACTTGTCATAAAATTTGTTAAGAGAGAACGGAGAGTCGAACTGAAGATTGAAGCCAAGAATATTTTGCTCGAAGAAGGTAAAATTAAAGCACAATCCTCTCTAAAACTCAGAGAACCAGGGAAAGCAATTGTCTTCTTGATGGCAGAAGCCACACATTGGCCGAAATGCTTCTTTGATGGGGTTCTCTTTTCAGTCAAGAAAGAAGGATGGAAGTGCACTTTGGAGAGGCCAAGAAGAAGTTATCAAATGGAATTAGGTGCGACCAGAACAGATGGTTCATTGTTGTGGTGGAATTCTCCGGGCAAAACAAAAACAGATGGTGTGTATCCCTGAAGGAAAACAAGGTATGGGGTGGAAGAGCTTCACAGTCTTTGGGCTCTCGTTGTGAAGAAAGAATCGGAAGCTAACAAAGAAATAAAATGTAAATAGGTGCTGCCCCATGTCGTTTTGGATGAGAAAGGTAAGGTTGAAGTAGAAGAGGTGCTTTGTCAGGATAAGCAACAAGAGGTTATAGTTTACAGTTTGGTTAAACTGCAAAGATCACTATTGGATAGTGATTTAGACAATTGAGGGCAGCACCGGGTTATTAAGGTGGCAAAGGAAGTTACTGACTGGGTGACCATCTTGAACAACATCAAATCCAAAATGGTAGTGACTGATGGAGTTTTTATTTTCCTTTTCAATAAAAAAAAAAGCGTTATTGAACACTGGGGATAGCGAGATTGATTTCCATATGATGGAGATTGGCTCAGATATAGTTCTGATTGAAGATTAGTTCCCGTCATGTAACACAAAGGATTTAGGCAATGGAGCTTTTGAAATCACCCTTCATGGCTTACCACTTTATCTTTGGAAATTGTCTTGCCAAATCCTTGGGTGCAGTTCTACTGGAAACTGATTTGCAGAGCCTTTGAGTGAAGTTATTGATTGGAGGGGTGAAACCCTGAGCTCGTTCCAATACTGATTGAAGTTGCTACTCATGGTGCTTGGTATCAGGTGTGGATTATGAAAGCATCATTGTGGATGATACGACGAGAGGTTGAAGATGATGCCAACCTGGCAAGTGCTGTGCCAAGTGAGTATTAGCAACTAGACCTGTTCATGGGCTGGGTAGCCCGATGGCCCGGCCCGGCCGGCACCCCGGTTGGGCTTGGTCATATATTTATAAAATATATAATATGTATTTTATATATTATATAAAAGATATAAATAATATAATATTTATTAAAATATATATTTATAATTTAATATATACATTTTTTTATTCTTTTCTTTATAATTTCTCTCTTTCTCTCTCTATTCAGCTGCTTCAGCAGTAGTAACAGTATGGGCTAAATTTCGGGCTCGGGCCCAGGCCTGGGCTTCGGGCTTTTTATGAGGGTCGGGCTCGGGCCCAAGTTGTAGGCCCGATGGTCGGGCCGGGCTCGAGCTTGGGCCTTAGAAAAATCTGTTAATATAGAGTGAAAGGCCGGATCAAGCCCGGCTTGGCCCGACCCATGAACAGGTCTATTAGCAACTCATTGAAAAATTCCAATAAGTTGGCTAATAAGGCATTTTCATGTGATGTTCGATTGGAGTCTAAGAACAAGTGGACTACGGACGATAATTTGGGTTTGTCATTGTCCCAAATCATGGCCAACGGTGGACAGGAGCTAGGTAACTACGAGAAGAACAACATCCAATGGATGGTCGCCCCAACCCTCGTTACTCAAGGTGTAGGGTGGAGGATGCTGATGATGTTGAGAATGGATGGGAGGATTGCGCACAGTTGGAGTATGAGAATGACTTAGAAACTGAGATTCTACCTTTCGAAGATGGTGGAGAGGAGGGAGGAACAACATGGGAATGTTGATGATTCTCTAAATACTGATATTCTATTCAGTGGGGAAAATAACAGTCCCAAGAAGACCTCGACTTTGGATCTAGTGGCAGTGAGTGGTGGTATCATGGTGGAGTACAAATTGTTTGAAGAGGTGGATAACTGAAACCTAATCAAGAGGGTGACTGAACCAAATTCCTTGAGGCAAGGTGCTTGTAAGGTAACAGTTGAGGATCTTCAGAGACTAAATAGGGGGGATCCAGATGGGGGTGGACAACAGAGTCTTGGTAGTATTCAGAGTATTAATTCTCCAGTTGGAAACCTTCCGGAGGGAACCCAAGCTAGGGTGGATGGTGTGGTTCAAATTCTGGAACTTGGAAAGTCAGACCAATTCTCTTGTATAGCTGTTTCCTCCCCTCACAAGGTGCCAGATATGCATGTCACTTCCATTGTTGATATTAAATGTTATTCTGTGGCTGCTTTTGATGTTCTAGGTCCCAGTTCAGCCGATGTCCCGCAACCTGTAAATGGGAAAGTGGAAGGTGGAGTTGGTGAGAGTGTTGAAGTAGAGGAGGTGAGGGGTAAGAAAATTTGGGAGATGATTGAGAACCTTAGTATAAATTCTAGGGGAGAACTTGAGGAGATGGAAAGGAAAAAGAAAGGATCTTGGTTGGGTGAGTCAGTGACCGATTTTGTGGAAGAAATAGGGTGTACAGTGCAAGAACCAATCGATATGAACGTTTACTTAAGAAAGATTAAGGAAGGAGGAAAAACAAGGAAAAGGATGTTCAGTGGAGTGGAAAGATTGAAAAAAGATATTGAAGGGGAAAAGGAGTAGGAAGAAGGGTTATGAAGATTATAAGGAAAAGATCCATTATAAGAGAGGTCCTTAAGAAGGAGAAACCAGATATTATTTCAATTCAGGAATCAAAGCTGGTGGATTTTGATAAGAGATGGGCTGTGGGTGTTTGGAGAGCTCAAGGGATTAAGTGGGCAATGTCCCCTTCATGGGGAGCTTGAGGCGGTATTTTGACATTATGGAATGGTGACTCCATAGTTGGAATTGAAGAATTGGTGGGTAAATTCACAGTTCCTATCAAATTTAGGAGTGTCAGATGGTTTTGAATGAGTTTTGACAAATCTGTATGGACCTAATGGGTATCGGGAACAAAATAAGCAGTGGGAAGAATTGGAGGATATCCAGGGATTGTGGGATGGAACTTTGTGCTTGGGAGGGGACTTTAATGTAATAAGATTTTTGGAAGAGACCAACAATCCGGGAAGGAGAAATAATTTGAATATGAGGAGGCTCATTTCTTTCATTGACACTTTTTGGCTTAAGGAACTTCCTCTTGCTTATAGAAACTTCACTTGGTCCAACATGCAGGCTGAATCGATCTGTTCCAAACTGGATAGGCTCTTATTTACAATTGATTGGGAGAATCACTGGAGCGGTCTTGTTTCTAGATCTTTGCCAAGAGTGACCTCGGACCATTGGTCAGTCTCTTTATCGGAGGAGGATTTAGATGGTAGAGGTCCAGCTCCTTTCAGGTTTGAAAGTATGTGGCTCTGCTCCAATGGCTTTATTGACAAGATCAAGGTGTGGTGGTAGGAAAGCAATCCAAGGGTGAAGTGGGAAGGGATGATGTTTCATTGGAAGTTGAAGGAACTTAAAGGTAAAATCAAAGAGTGGAACATTCAAGAATTTGGAAGATTGGAAGAGCAAAAGCAACACATAATAGACAAAATTGAGGATTTGGATCTTAAAGTAGCTTATGGCCACTTGTGGAGAATGATAGGAATGAGAGGTGGGTGTTAAGGAAGGAATTGGAGGATATTTTATTCAAAGAGGAAACTTGTTAGATGCAAAACTCAAGGAGCAAGTGGCTGAAAGAGGGGGTTAGAAATACTAGTTATTTTCATGCCATGGAAAATGGGAGGAGAAGAAAGAATTGTGTCAAAATTGGTGATTGATGAGGTTAGTATCCTTCAACAAAATGACATTGCCCAGGCTCTTGTGCACCATTTTAAATACGTTTTCATGGCCTCTATTTCAGCTTGATAATAAGATTACTTTCTTTAAAGGTGACCAATAAGAGGAGGTTTCTATTTGTCTTTACCACTTTGTTTTCACTGTAACATTGGTGAAGAGAATGTGTGTTGGATGAAGAAATTTTTAAATGACTTGAAGCAATCACCCAAAGCATGGTTTCATAGATTTAGAGGAGCCTAGGTTTAGTTTGGTTATATCCAGGCACAACAAATGATACATTCTTTTTTGAAAGGAAGGATTCCTTGTTGACAGCTCTCCTTGTTTATGCGGACTTGTGGCAATATTTAATGATCCAATCGAGGTAGATGTGTTAAAGAATTTTCTACTTTGGGAGTTTGAGATCAAGGATCCTGGGGAGCTTCATTAGTTTTTTTAGGGATTGAGGTTGTTTGTTCAAGACATGGGTTTTTTATTTCCCAACGTTAGCATGTTTTTGACCTTTTGGAGGAGACAATGATGTTGGGTATTAAGCCAATTGATACATCTATTGATCATGATCATAAGATTAATGGTTTTGATGGAGAGTTATTCAAGGATGTAAGGAGATACCAGAGATTGGTGGACCAGCTACTATACTTTATGCATGACTAGTCCAAATAGCTTATATGTTCCAAGTGTGGTATGTCAATACATGCATGCACCATGGAGTACTCAGCAACTGTTCATAGGATTCTTGCTTATCTTAATATGTATCCCAGGAGGTGTGTTTTATTTGGTAATCATGGCCACATGAAATTTATGGAACATGGTATTTCAGAGTTGCTTTGGATTTGATTCTTTCTTAGGGGAGCTCGAAATTAACATGGAATAGCCCTTAATGTGGTATTGTGATAATCAGGTCACCATTAATTTTTCTCAAATCCTGTTCAGCATGACAAGACTAAACATATTGAGGTGGATAAACACTTTATCAAGGATTGAGTGTTTACAAGAGAAGTTTGCTTGCCTTATGTTACATCTAGCATGAAGTTGGTAGGCATTTTTACTAAAGCGGTTGTTAATAATAAGCTAGAAAATGTTTTAAGCAAGTTGGGAATGATCAATATATTTATATGTATATATTCCCATCTTGAGGGAGAGTATTGACAATATTCAGCTGTTATTTATTTTATTAGTGGTAGCAGTATGTAGCTTTCTTGCTTTCGTTTACTATTGGGTAGCTATGTGGTGCGGCAAGTATTTTGCTCCTCTTTCATTCTTTCTCCCCTTGAATACTCTCTTCCCTTCATCTTCTCTACAACCTCTTGCTAGTTTATTGTCTTTTTATTAGATCGACTGATTCAAAGTCTTCTAAAACAAAAAAAACAAAAAAGAAAAAATAGAGAAAACTGATGTGCCTATTTATTTTATTCGAACGGCATCTTCAAAAACCATTTTTTATTAGTATACTAATGGGTTCATTTTCTTATGCAGCAAGGTCACCATCAGTCTTAGATATGCAGATCTTGGATCTGTACTACCAACTCGAATCAGAGTTTTAGCATGGCCAGTGCATCCATCTAGAAGAGTTTCAATAACAGGAACAACAAACAAGAAAGGAAATGTAGCATTGGGGACACAGCCAGTTCCAGCTCGCCTATCTTATGCTGAGGATGCTTTACGAACCATGAGCTTGCCCGAAGGTGTAACTTTATCAAAATAAAGAATTCTAGTATATGTTTTAGGTAGACCATCGGGATCTCTATCAATTACATTGAGATCTTATGGTCCCTGCACTTGGTGGCTTCAATAAAAAGCACTTAATTTTTGTGATGTTTTACTGACATCCTTTTCTGATCTTTTCTGTTTGTGTCTTAATCCCAAATGCGCAGCCTATGCAGAGATTGTGTTAAACTTGCCGCGGGCCCTTCAACAAATATTTCAGAATCTAGCAACTGCATAGAATCTTGTTTGTTTATTCTTGAGCACTTTGTTCTATGAAAGGTTGTGCTAGCGGCTTTGCAGTTGTTTCAGTCTCAACTAATATTTGATCCGTATAGGCTTGAATAGCTCCCATCGAGAACTTTCCACCTGAAAAGGTTTGCAAGAAGGTTACGTTATTGTCCCTATTGATGATTGTAAAATCATTCTGTTGCCCAAAACAGCAAAAGTTGGGAATTTTTAAGTCTATTATTTGTTCTTCCATCACTAGGCAAAATATGTCAGTTGACCACATTGTACAATGATTATGTGCAGTTTTATAATGTATATTTATGAAAATCAGAGTTGACGAATGAACTGTCCTTTTTCAGCAGATAATGATTAATGGTGTATTTCTTTGCAATGGTAGCTCAAAAGCAACAGGTAAAGACTTGCAACATCATATTCATCTTTAGCTGGCTGAAAGTTGTTCTGTGGTATGTCTCGGAGGAGGGGTAGCACCTGTAGAGCATATTCTCCATTGTGAATTGCTTTTCTTGTTGAGTTCCAAAAATAAAATAAAATTGTATGGTTTCCAAACAAATTGGTTTTCAAAATGAAAATACAAGAAAACATGTTTTATGGTTGTATGTTTTTTTTTTTTTTTTCAAAACTGAGAAAAAATGTGTTTTTGATCTTGGCATCAATATGACTAATTTTTGGGTTCTTTAAATCGTGCTCAAAATGGAACTCTCCTATAATAGTAGTTGACCTACTGGCTGTCACCTATAATAGTAGTTTTGGGGTTTAGTTTTAGTTTTTCAGTATTGTTAGAGATTTAAGTTTGGACCTTACATAAATTTTCTATTTATAGTAATTTTCAGGCTTACTATTCACAATGATTCTCATGAATTTTAATTGAAGCAATTTTTTTAATTATTCTTTATTGTAAAAGCATGAGTTACTAATTTCTAGTATTTTCTGTTTTCTTATGCTAAGTTGGAATAAGAGTTATGAAGTGCCCTAGTTTATGAAATAAGTTTTACATGTTACTATTTTTTGGGGAATTCTGAATACAAGTCAAAGGTGTTTTCTTGTAATGACATTAAATCTCAAAGATTTGTTATGTTAATGAAATGCAGACCTAGCCCCTAGGAAAATTCAAAGACAAGGTGGGGGCATAGAGATGATGTGGGGGAGTAAGCATGTGGCTGCTCTAGAGTCTAGAGGATACAATCATTAGGTTAAATCAGCCACATGATTAATTCCTCACATTGCAAAATATGTGACTCATCTTGTGCTTAACTAATGGTTCTTAGAAAGGGTTTTTCCTGAGTTGATAACTAACTTTTGTGGACATGTAAATATTAAAAAGTGCATTTCTATTTAGGTAAATCCTGGATATGTTGTCTGCTAGGGGTGAGCAAATGGGTAGTTCCAAGTTCTGCTATGGAACCAAACCGAATCGGCCCATGCTTACCCCTATTGCCCGCCACACTAATAGACTATATAACCATTTACGAGTGAACTTGATAGTTTCGTTATACATGGGCGAGCAGCACATTCCGAGTGGCATAGGTGGGATGGCTAAGAATTATACTATTTATCAAATTTTCATTGACCCGGTCTTTTTTTTACTCGACTCAACTCGACAAGGTTAAGTAGTCTATTGGGAATCAATGCCATGGAGTAAATTAAGCTAAACTTATGTTGATTTACCGAAGATGGTTAGAGAAGTAGAAGCTTGATGTTGAGATTTCTATAAGCATCCATCCCAATGTTCTTCGTTAGGTCCACGTCTTTTTATTTATTGAAAGAACCCACCCTTGAATCCTACCCAAACCGGACTTTCCCTTTTCCTTGTAATGAATGTTTTAATTAAAACTATTGTCGCTCGGATTGGCCGATGACAACATTGTAAGTTCACTTCTGAGATTCAGGACACGGTCGAGGGTTTCGAGGCTCTGAGTTGTTTGAAAAGGGAGCCGAAGCCGAGGGCAGGTTGAAGGTTGGAGGGGTGTGTCGAGGCAGACTACCTTCTCAAGTACTAGAGAGTGTTAGACAGTTGTATGCTCTTAATTCCAATCAGAATGATGTATATTATGAATTTATCTTCTCAAGTACTGATGTGCCGCCAAGTGTTGGGGTGGCCTGTCTCAGGTGCCAGGGTGAGACCCGAGGTACATGCAGTGTAAGTTTACTTGAAACCTTGAACCGAATCAGATTTTCAGTATTGCCCTAAAACTTGGTGATTAGTGGGCAAAACTGAAAATTTACACTTGACCCTTAGACTCGGTTATGATATTGCATTAGGTGTTGGATTGGGCTGTCTTTGATATGTCAATCAGTGAGATCTTTAACAGGGGTTAAAACTTGGGTATGTTGAAACAGTTCGAGAATTCATCTGAGTGGGTAATCATAGTGATAAGATCAGTCTTTTTATTGGACAAAGGTAATGATCGGGGATGCATTCTCTCTAATGAAAACCAAGACTGTTGGCAGTCGATTTAATCATTGAAATTTGTTTTGCAAAATATATTTTATATACAGATATAAATATATATTATGGTTACAAATTGTTTGCAAAAATGTTTTAATTCCCAAGATCCATGTGAGTAGAGAGTGCAACACTATTCCTTGCAGCCAATGGAGATGTCCTCTCTTGTCAGGTAGTGTTTGATCATAATGGGTTGAGAGGTTAAGTGTAAGACCATTGAGGGTAATACCTTATGGGCTAATCTTGCATCTGCCTACAGTCCTTGGGTGTTACAAGGTGACTTGGCTCAGGGAGCACTTAGTGTAAGTGTTGGGTCCATAGATTCAATGTGATGGGCTCAAGGGGTTCACTAGGCTTTCTAGTGAATTCGGTTAGACCTCTCTTGTCGGGCAGTGTTTGATCATTATGGGTTGAGAGGTTAAGTGTAAGAACATTGGGGGTAATAACTGATGGGTTAATCTTGCATCTGCTCACAGTCCTTGGGTTTTACAAGGTGGTTTGGCCCAGGGAGGACGTAGTGTAAGTGTTGGGCCCATAGAGTCCATGTGATGGGCTTAAGGGGTTCACTGGGCTTTCCAGTGAATTCGGTTAGGTCAAAGGCTGTGCCAAACCCTTGTGGCTGATGTGTAGATCAATGCTTGGGTCCCACGCCATACAAGGAAGCCCAATTGGGCAACCGTTTGGAAGCTAAGTGAGCACATATACTTATTGGGCCTAAATCCCATTTCGAACTGAGCTGATTTGATTAATTAAATAAATAAGTGGATCTTAGATTAGATTAGCAGATAGGTTAGGGTCTTACCCTATCCACTCAGAGAGTTCAGATCTGAATACAGATTATATATGAAAATCTCCCAATAAGATAGGAGAGGGCTGATCTAATCTACAGATAAGATAAATGTCTATCCTTATCATTTAAAGGGAATTCAGATCCAAATATGATTTGGATCAGCAACTCTTAATAGGATTAGGAGCTGATCCCTTTAAGGTTATAAAAGGAGGACGGGGTGACAGCCTCTTGGCATCATAACAATATCACCTACAGAGAAAGATTACAGAAGAGAGAACAACTTCCAGTAAGACTTCGCTGATTTCTCCTTGCCGCCTCCTTCCTGCCGCTGCCGCCATTCCCAGTGCATCTTCACGACAATAGGAGTGATCAAGAACAATTCTTGATATCAGTCCTTTGTGGAAGGGCTGATTGGAAGTCGTGCTCACGTTCCGTCCAACTGATTCTTGCAAAGGATCTAGTTCTTTGGAAGAACACTGTTGATTCTGCTCCATCCTACACTACGCCATTTTCAGTGGGTGTGGTCTTTGGTTCCTTCCTTGGGCGTGAACACCTCCATTGGGAGATATTGTTTCTCCATATCAGGTATATCCCTCTCCTGCTTCTAGTTTCAAATCTGGTTCGGTTTATGGTTCAAGATTGATCATTGAAAATGCAGATTTTCTAAAACAGGGAATGCGATTCCCAAATGAGGGGAGAGAAAATTTTTGAAATTTCGCCCAACCTACATGCAGGGTTCGGCCATCCATATGATGGATCTCTCATTCCTTTAGAGAGGCCGAGGCCTAGGGGCCGAAGTGGATGATCTCTGAAGAGTTGGTGTCAAAGTCGGGATGCTCGCTAGGGTGTACAAGGGGTCTAAAGGGGCCTTGAGAGTTTGCTATGCAAGGAAGTGTCAGAGGCCTCGGGTGAAGACTTGAGCCAAGGACTCCGACGGTCAAGGTAAGTAGAAGGTTCAGTGCAGAGGCACCCATACGAGGTCACTATTAAGCACTAAGTCCTCAGAAAGAAGAATACCAAGAGTCTTAAAGGTTCCAGAGAGAGTTAGTTACCTTGTGGGAGGTGCCTTGTATTATAATCGGAGTTGCCTAGGGGGTAGTTGGGCTCGAGCAGCCCAGATGCGAGCCATACGAGGGCTAACTGTGAGGATATGGCGGAGCCATGCGGTGCCCCGCGATAGGGCCTGCCTAGTCCGCATAGGGCCACCCCGCTCGCCCCACTATTGGCCTCTGCTGGCGCCTGCTAGCCGACACATTGTCACAAGTGACTCCTGAAAGGGGATGGTAGAATCCATCGTATGGATGCCAAAAATGTTGTGGAATGGGTGGGCGAATTTCAAAAATTTTCTACCTTCCAATTGGGAATCACATTCCCTGTTTTAGAATCAAGATTCAAGGATCCTACTTGAACCAGAACCGAAACAGATATGAACCAAAAGAGAAGGGAGTGATTATATTTGATCCAGAGAAATAATATATCCCAAAGTTGGTGTTCACGCCGAAAAAAGACACCAAGATCTGCTCTTGTTGAAGATGGCACAACAACCGTGGAATAGAACCAACAGAGTGCGTCCTACACACTGAATTCTTCACAAGAATCCTTTGGAAGCAATGAGTACCGAACTGAATCAGCCTTTCAGCAAAGACTGATATCAATAACTTTTCTTGATCTTTCTCTGACAAAGAAATCGAATTGCAATAGATGGTGGCGGCTGCAACAAGAGGAAGCTAGAGAAGAAGGTGGCGAACTGCTTTTCTTTTCTAGGGTTTCTGAGATCCTATCTCAAAACTACAGGGTGTGTTGAGTGTTTCCTAGGGTTCGAATTCTTGTAATTCAAATAGGGTTTCCTCCAATTGCTTAATGATTAAGAAAAATCTCTTGATCATATAAGGAGTTGCCCTTATCCAAATCTGTATTTGGATTAAGACTCTTCTTAATCCCATCTGCAGATTAGATAAGCTTTTGGGCTCATCCTAATCTTAGATCCGCCCCTTGTTAATGACTGATTAAATCAGCCCAGTTCAAAATGGGCTTTWGGCCCAATAAGAATCAAGTGCTCAAAAAGTCTTATAAACTGCTGCCTAGTTGGGCTTCTTTGTATGGCGTG